GTACAAAAATAATATATATATATATATTATTTTTGTACAAGTATAACTCCGCTTGTCAATGCTTTTTTAAAATAACCATTACCTTAATCAAATAACACTGATCACGACAACTTTTTTTTTTCCGGAAGCTACTGGCTTTTATCGGGCACCAAACAGTACTTAGAATCACCGTTTAATTCCAGTTAAGCAGCAGTTATAAAACATTCTATGTATAACCACTGATCTGCTAATATAGCATGAAAAAAACTCTGTTTTAAATATGTTTGTCAAGTTCTTTGTTGCAACCAACCAACATCCTTCTCAAATTGTAGGATGGTTACTGCAATGAATTTACCGGTATACTATAAAAAAACCTTTCATTTTTTCTAGTTTCTACTTTAAACAACAATTAACGCTTACATCTGCAGATTTCTTAGACTATATAACTGTGTTTTTCTAATGATGGTTCCTTCTTTTGTACATATATTAATTGTTATGAGAATCGCAAACTGTTCTTTAACGACGAGTTTACGACAACTCGGTAACAATGACGAGTCTGGCTAATGGTTTCAAATGTTGTGTACGGCGACTGTACTTACTCAAAGCTTTATTTCTCAAATATCCCTCAATTAGTATAATTAGAAAGAACGTTCAGTACAGTCTCACTATTCTGTGTAGTCATCGTAGGAAAGTCTTTCGAGAATGACCACTCTTCCCAATTCAGCTCCAAACCCAGAATCGCCGCCTTCATAACTCAAAAAACAATTTTTACGATACAAAGAAACTTTGATGTGAAGTAACCAGTATAAATGGTAAAGGAAGATCACAGAAACAAAATAACTTTAAAAAGCAAAACAGAGACCTAAAACTGCCAATACGGGTACGATTTAAAAAATTACTGCAATAACAGCGGCAGACGACTGTTTCAGAAGAAAGCTGCTGGTCATAGTGCCTACGACAGGCTTCTGCAAGCCAACTAACCCGAGTATAGTCATACGTTCCTCTATATATCCTTGATAAACTTTTTCCTGAGAGCAGATCATACACCACATTTTCTAGATTGAGTTCTCATGTACAGCCTCAAGTTTCTTTTTTGTTGAGTAATATTGTTAGAAAAGCAGATTTCTTTTTTGAGCCTATACATACATAACAGAGCGGTCCCACTTTTTACTAGGTATCAAATCGCTGTAATCTGGTAAACTAAACAGTTTATATGCGAAAAAAACGTGTGGAAAATTAGTTGTCGTTACAGTTACATTGTCCATAATACCTTTTTTCCCCTTTGAAGTATTACTCGTAACGACATTGTGTTCCGTCTTTCGTTTCTGAGTTTAAGTTAAAATTGAATCAAAGAAAATGTTTATCAAACTTTACGCCAAAATTTTTTTATTGGTCAAAGACTAATTAAATCAGTATAACAGTAAAGAAGCGATAGAACGTTTGTAAACCACAGATTAGGGTTAAATTACAGAAAATTTTTTTAACTTCCATCCTAAGGCAAAACTTTAGCTGAAAAATTAATTAAAAATAAATTCAAAGCTTTTAATTTTAAATTTATAATTTCAACATAGCCACCGTTAAAAAAAAAAATAATAGATCTTCAAAATCTTTCACTTTTTTTAAGCCCAAAAAAGCGGGCAAGAATAAAAAGTGTTGTTTTCTACAGACCATCCCTCACAAGTGTTTT